ACAAAACTCTTGCCAAAATTCAACATGAGAATTCTAAGAGAAGAATTATAATTCTCAGATGTGGAATTCATCTTCCTAAGGAGTAACCAAAGACTTCTAAGAAGAAAGAATGCATGAGTAGGATATCTTATGCTTTGGCAAAGGTAGACTCATGCATATCATGTTGGGCATTAAACCAGACATCTGTCACGCAGTGGGAGTAGAGAGATAGTACCATTTTGAACCTAGAGGAATACTAGATTATTGTTAAGCATGTACTCAAGTATCTTTGGAGAACGAGAGATTATATGCTGGTATATTCTAGTGGGAGTCTTGAAAAGCTGAGTTTTCAAAAATTCAGTTATTTCAAGTGGATATTGACTCAAGAAAATCAACCTCGAGCTATGAGTTTTTCACTAAACTCAGATAGCATTAGAGGTGGATCTTGCAGACCCAGTTACTAAGAGTTTGCCTGAACTTGTGTTCGAGAGGCATGTTACTTCTTTGGGTCTTAGGAGGATCCCAGACTTGCATTAAGCAAGTGGGAGTTATTGGTTTCATTGTGCTCTTGGAGTAAGACGATGAAACAATAAAATAATTTTCTGAATTTCATAAATAAGGCTTTATTTATTTATTTTGCGCACTATTTACAAACATAAAGGTCCGGATCAAATTGTGGAGTATATGATCATATGGATACGTTCATGGAGGACATGATCATAGGATCTCACAATTGATGAATGAAGTCACAGCCATTAAATAAAGTTGGGCACTTCATTCAGGCTGCAATATTTTATGAAGTGATTTTGTCCGAATCATTGTAAAATATTGGTGTGAATTAACATTCACATGGAAAGGATCAAGGAGAGATTTGATTAAGGTTGTTTTTCTGTCATAAGGTATCAAATCTCCAGTTAACTATAGTTATGTGATTGCTCTTAATCCTGAGTTTATTATAAATAGGTAATCAAATAGTTTTCATTCTTTGATTTACCAACGGGTGAGGTCCGATCTTTTGACGGCCAATAACTCGGTGTTTTGGGAGTGAGATTATTTGATTATCAGTATTTATGAGATAAACAACAAGGAATTTATAGGAAATGTCCCCTTGATATATTTCGGTACTTGGATATTAAAGACACTGGCCAGTGCATGTAATCCATTAGAGAAATTATCAAAGTCAAGGGAATAAATAATTGATTGGGTTACAGAAAACTAATCAATGAATTATAGACATTCTATAAAGGGGCAATGCATATTAATGTTATAAAGGTCATTAATCTTGGAGTTCACGTTCGGGCTTTTAGTGGAGTAGCACCGAATTAGATAATCTTGTAAAGATTATCAGGAGCCTTGATCAATGACAAATGGTAGGTCCCCAGGCTAGCTCGAGACAAGGGATGAGGTATATTATCAGATGATGATAGCTTATGGGCTACATGGTCTTGGGTTTACGAACTCAAGTTTGTATCTTAAAGAGCAAGTGGGAGATTGTTGGATATATGCTCTTTTGGTCACTAAAGTCCTATTGGGCTTCAGTGAAACTTGAGCCCATGAGGCTTAGGGTTGAGTTATGTCTAAGACCTAAGCGTATATATTCATGGTTTTCTCCTCTTGTGCCTCCAAGGTGAATAGATCATCAGAAACAAACCCCAAAAGGCAGACGTTCATCATCTGAACGGTTGCCCACACAACCATCTCATCCTCCTCGAGAGATAGTCTGGAAGATCTGCCACAGTCCAGCTTCAAGGAGGTTGTTCGTGCTGCGGCGCTGAGGTGAGCTGTTCGTGAAGAGGAATCCTACAAGGGAAGATTCTACACGAGACCTGCGCACCGAGAGGTAATTGTGAAACGATGATGATTCGGTAAGCATACCAATGTACTAGGTCCTAAACCGCTTCCGCATAAATCTAAGATTTCCTACAAAAACTGGACGTAAACCTCTACACACACCCTCTCCTCTATTTTTCTTTTTTTTTTTTGAAAAAAATGTGTATCATTTTAAAATATAGAAAGTTATGTCATTTTAGGAGTGAATCACAGATAGATAAAGGAGGAGAGAGAGTTGACAAAAATAAATAAAGGTGTGGGTCCCACCTCTTTGTGAGGGTGAAAGGATATAAATCGTGTCATTTAAAAATATAAACACTTTTCCCTTTCTTTCTTTTTCTCCCAAAAGGAAATTTACAAATATTCAACACCGAAAAAACAACGTTATATTTGTCATATACTTACCCATATATTGTATTTATGGAAGAGGATCAATTTATACTGATGTAAAAATAGTAAGTCTTACATCATATCTTAATTATCGATTTTTGTGCTTTCAACGGTTGAGATTTATTGAAAATTAATAAGTGGAACCCAATAAATCTTAATCATTAGATGCACGAAAATAAACGGTTAAGATTTGATGTAAAACTTATTATTTTTATATCGGTGTAAGATGTTAATGCCCCTATATTTATTATTGATCCAATTCAATGTTATTAAACGCGACCCGATCATTAACCCGGTCGAGATACTGGGTCACTAGTTGAACCACGTAACTCGGTAATTATATGCAATTCCATAATGGGATAGGTTATTGTGCCTACTCTTATTTTACCTACTTTTGCCTACCCCTTTCGTTACCGTTCGATTACCATCTCATCCAACGATCCATATTTGTGATATAAAATAAACCTTTTTTTTTCCTTTCTTTCTTCTCACTTTCTCCCATACCCTTTCTCTCTCCTCCCCTTTCTCTCTTCCTCTGCCATATACCTATTTTTTTCCTTTATCGTTAATCTTTGCTCAGGTGAACGGCGCAGAAGCATTTGAAATCAATTACCACAGCATTTGAAATCATCGTCAATATACATTAGTCTCTGTTTTTATTATTGTAATATAAATTTTCTCCTTCTGAATCAGTTTCTATCAAATTACCAGTGTCAATGGATTGAAAAATCACAACAAGTTTTTAGATCTGAAGAACAACATAAATTTTATAAATTAATAAGATTGAATCGATGACTAACAAAGAAGTTTTAATGTGATTCAAAAGATCTGTGCAGAGTTGGAAAAGATTCAAAATAAATAAAAAAATTAAAGAATAAAAAAAATTGATATTGGAAAAATCTGGAAAGAGGGTTAATTGGTGCCATTCCAGCAATTATGTTGATACGGATAGCCAATTAATTATTAGAAATTAAGAGTATCTATCATGTGGAAGAACAGATCGACATATTGAAGCAGAGACAAGGAGGATTCTGTGAACAGATCGACCTAGTGGCACCACCGCTTTGAATCACATCAAAACTTCTTTGTTAGTCATCGATTCAATCGTATTAATTTATAAGGATTAAAAATATCATTAGAATCGAACAGTTTGTCAGGAGATTGAGGTCCACGACGGCAGAAGGGAAAAAAATTAGGTATATGGCAGAGGAAGAGAGAAAGGGGAGGAGAGAGAAAAGGTATGGAAGAAAGTGAGAAGAAGAAAAAATGGAAAAAAAGGTTTATTTTATATCACAAATATGGATCGTTGGATGAGATGGTAATCGAACGGTAATGAAAGAGGTAGGCAAAAGTAGGTAAAATAGGAGTAGGCACAATAACCTATCCCTTCTATAATTTATATTAAAAAACTATATTCATTCTCAAATATCTAAAAGAAATTATAAAAATTTCAAAAATATTTTAATATAAAAAATAATAAATCACACATTATTATCCAATAAAGGATTAAACAAAAATATAATGATCGTGACATGAGACTACAAGTTAAGTAAACAACATCTCTAACTATAAATCAAATCAAAATTTCTTGCATAATGCATAATTGAGATGATATTAGTGATGTAGGTACATAACCTATGTAAGTCCATAAACAAAAAATACTCAAATATGTTCATTATGACTTCTTTTTTTTGAAATTTTTTTTTGGGATTTTTTTTATTTTTTTTGGGACCGGACCAGGTTACCGGGTCACCTGTTTTCACGAAAATTGGTCGGGTCACAACAGGTCGCACCGATTCTGACGTATGGTCGGTCCGTTACTTCACCCGGACCGATTTTAACCGATTTATTAGTTCTTGGGTCGATTCAGTCGGGCCGGGCCGGTCCGGTCTAATTTTATTAACATTGATCAAATTAGTTCTTAAGCTAGGATTAATTTTATTAATAAAATATATTTAAAAGTTATATCATACTTTTATTTTTCTAAAAAATGATACAAAATTTAAAATAATATTTCAAAATTTTTATTATTTATATATAGGGATAGGATATTATTACTACCAAATAATGTTACTATCAATGTTATTATCATATCTTAACCGTTGATTTCCGCAAATCAAAAGTTATCATTTATCGTGAATTAATAATTAATTAATTAATTTGATTTGTGGATATAGTAACCGTTGATTTGCGGAAATCAACAATTAAGATATGGTAGTGATATTAGTAATAATATTATTTGATAGTAATAATATTTTACCCCATATATATATATATATATATATATATATATATATATATATATATATTGGAATAAATATTTATTTTTTAAAAAATATAATTTTGTGTCATTTTAGATCCTAATTGGTGATTTTCGTCAATCAACGATTAAGATTTATTGAACAAATTTATTAATTAAGTTTCGAAAACGTGGAATGTCAGAGAAATTCTTTACAATAAATCTTAATCGTTGACGAAAATCAACGTTTAAGATATAAGACGATAAAAAAAACGTTTTCCCATATATTATGCCTTTTGAAAACTAGAGTGAGAGTCAAAGATCTACGCGGAATATTTAATGGATGTTTGAGCCGGCCATTGCATCAACTTAGTTGCCATTTTTGACACCCATTATTGATCTCGTGTGCTCATGTTGCTGAAGTCTAAAGGTATCATCCAAAAATTGAAGAAAAGTCCCACATGAGAAACCTATATAAGTAGAGGTCTCTTTCCTTCCCCATTAATTATATCACACGTTTCCTTCTTATCTATATTTTTATGATCTCTCTCTCTTTAAGTTAATGCTTGTTCCAATGGTTGCGTCAGTTAGATTCTTCATCATTTTGTCCTTTCTCTCATTGATCATCTCCCCTTCCATAGCTCAAACCTCTTTCAGACCAAAGGCACTTGTTCTTCCTGTCACCAAAGATGTTTCTTCCACTACTCCTCAATATGTTACCCAAATCAAACAAAGGACACCACTAGTGCCAGTAAAGATAAGTGTTGATCTTGGTGGTGGCTACTTTTGGGTGAATTGTGAAGAGGGCTATGTCTCATCCACCTCTAAACCTGCCCACTGTGGCTCTGCTCAATGCTCACTTTTTGGGTTATATGGTTGCAGTGGTGAGAAAATTTGTGGTCGGTCTCCAAGCAACACTGTAACTGGTGTGTCTACGTATGGTGACATTCATGGAGATGTTGTTTCTCTCCCATCCACTGATGGAAACAATCCCGGTAGGGTGGTTTCTGTGCCTAACTTTCTCTTCATTTGTGGATCAAAAGTTGTCCAAAAGGGTCTTCCAAGTGGTGTCACAGGTATGGCTGGTCTTGGAAGGACTAAAGTTTCACTTCCTTCTCAGTTTGCCTCATTTTTCAGCTTTCAAAAGAAATTTGCAATTTGTTTGAGTTCTTCACCTAGAACAGATGGTGTAATATTCTTTGGTGATGGCCCTTATAATTTGAACATGGATGTTTCAAAGGTTCTCACTTTCACCCCTCTCATTACAAACCCTGTCAGCACTGCTCCAAGTGCTTTCTTGGGGGAACCCTCTGTGGAATACTTCATTGGGGTGAAATCTATTAGAGTCTCTGGCAAGAAAGTACCACTGAATACAACCCTCTTATCTATAGATAGAAATGGCATTGGTGGGACTAAGATTAGCACTGTTAATCCATACACTGTTATGGAGACCACAATCTACAAAGCTGTAGCTGGGGCCTTTGTAAAAGCTGTAGGAGCCCCTACAGTTGCGCCTGTTGCTCCATTTGGGACTTGCTTTGCAACCAAAGACATTGGGTTTTCAAGAATGGGCCCAGCTGTGCCTTCCATTGATCTAGTGTTGCAAACTGAGGATGTGTTGTGGAGCATTATTGGGGCAAATTCAATGGTGCAGTTTAATGATGTAATTTGCTTGGGTTTTGTGGATGCTGGATCAGACCCAAGTACATCCCAAGTTGGATTTGTGGTGGGTGGTTCACACCCAATGACTTCAATCACAATTGGATCACATCAGTTGGAGAATAATTTGCTACAATTTGATTTAGCAACCTCAAGGCTTGGGTTTCGCTCGCTCTTCTTGGAGCACACCAATTGTGCCAACTTTAATTTTACCTCTTCTGCTTAGAATTTTGATTATTTAGAGCACGGTTTTTGTATTTTAAGATCTGTGTGTAGACTAGGAGGTGAATAAGTGAGATTCTATTAATTTATGCATAGCCTCCCAAAGTTTAAATACTTTTTGTTTTCAAAATAAAAACGACAGTTGCTTGACGGAGCTATTATAGTGGACGAAAGTATGTTACATGTTGAGTTCCTTTGCACTTGGTTTTATTCTTCCTCAATGTGCGTCATAAAAATCAAGGGAATTGCTTTTGTTATGTAACATAACCTAAAAGCAAATTTCCTACTCTCACAAAAGAGGAGAGAGGAGAGAGAATAGGAAAAAGAGAAAAAATTTAAAGTGGATTCCATATAAATTTGTGTGTGTAGGAAGATGATTTTAGGTTATGTAACATAATAAAAATAATTCCCAAAAATCAAAGTGATTTACCAAAACTTTGATGGGTCCAGCCATGTTAATTACAATAAGGTTCGCTTTTTTTACTGTCAATGTATATAACTTATTTACATTGAACCCAAAATGACGTCGTTTTAGGACGAAAATCAAGATATTTTTGTAATTATAATTTATTTCAGGGTTATAATAATTTTTTTTACTATAATTTTTTAATTTTTCAACTCAAAACGACATCATTTTTGGAGCGAATGTAGATAACTTATCTACATTCACTATAGATACGTTAATGCCTTAAAATAAAGACAAAAGTTGAGCGGGAAAAAGTGAAAAGGTTGGCTGTGGATGCATGTAAAATTGAAAAACAGACGGTGCAAAATCTTTTTTATTGAAGGAAATATTCAATTCTAAAAGGATGTGGAAGCTAAAATTATTGAAGAAAATTAACACAAGTAGATGTATATGCAACCAAAATATTTAAAGTCGACACGAAGTACACACCCTGTGATTTGCCTCAGATTGCGATGTGAATCACAGAGGTGAAGTCAAGAAATAGAAGAAGCAAAATTAGAATTTTATTGGTTCAAATACTACATGTTTGATTTTATTTAAACAAAATTTTTGGTTCAAGTCCTTATAAATAAAAAGTATCTTCAAGAAATAGAAGAAGCAAAATTAGAATTTTATTGGTTCAAATACTACATGTTTGATTTTATTTAAACAAAAATTTTGGTTCAAGTCCTTATAAATAAAAAGTATCTTATGTGAAAGTTCACAACTCCAACAAAATTGTCTTCCATAATCAATACTTGTGGTTTATCCAAAAAAAATATAAATAAAAAAATTGAACTCTCTTCTTCGTCTTTTGTTTTGCATATATTTTTTGGGCTCAACAGACAATTGGATATTTCTCCTTGGTTTAGTTACCCAAATACTCTATCGAATCAAAGCCCAAATATTTAAATTTCTTATTTGAATATTCTTTTCCATAATAAAAACAGGGCACATAAGCCCATACCTATGTAGCACAAGAAGTTAAGCTAAGCCCAAAATGTCACAAAAAAGAAAATTGTCTTGATTGAACCTAAAAAACGACTTGTTTTATTTATGCCCGGACTATGTAGCACCGATACTGACACGGGACACATGACACGATATGACACGATACTCCAACACATTAATTGTAAAAAATGTTAGATTTCGACACGTTAGGGCACATTTTGATATTAAAAATATTTTCAATTTACGTAGTGTATATTATATTTAATATTCAATAATTTAACAAAAAATGAAACTAAACTTATAATATTTATCAATTTTGCAAAGAAACATAAGATATCCCAAATATTTATATTAAACTCAATAAAATGGTAATCGTAATCCAACGAATCTAATAGTTGGAACTAACAACTCAACACAACGAAACCTTTGAACTTTTTTTGAATTTCTATAACGCGTGTTGAAGTGTCGGGGAGTGTCGGACACAACACGTCAGAATTTTTGAAGTGTCGGTGCTTCATATTGGATGACTCTCAAACAAGTAAATTATAGCTGGCCTTGGTTTCCCTACACAAATTTGAGAATATCCAATTTAAGTATGGCCCTCGTAATGATCATTAGGCACGAAGCCCACAGTCTCGTTTCAAAATATCCAGCATACCACAAATCTTAAGGGGCCGGTTGGTTAAGGATAAATTTTAAGAAAATAGGGAAATGTAATTGATAGGGAAATGATTGAAAAATGAGTTTGATAGGAAAATGTAAAAAAAGTTGTTTGGTTGGAAAAAAATTTACTGGGCAAATTAGGTAAGATTTATAAAATCTATGTTTGGTTCGAGGTAAGATATAGATGGGGAAATAAGTGACAATTACGAAAATATCCCTGTTTTTAAAATTTTTGGAAAAAAAAATTGTAAATTAGTGAAATTTTTTGGAAAATGTAAAATTCTAGCATCTGTGGGTTGTTGCTTCGAACATACTGAAAAAATGGAACAGTAAATTTAATCTGATGAATCATGATGATCACTTTTCTTTATTCATAGCCTGTATCTGTTTGGTAGCAGTAATAGTTATCTGTGCTTCATGGCCTTTATGGTTTCTGTTCCAGTCATTTTCACTCCCTCTCTCTCTCTCTTTCTTCCTCGCTATGAGCTACAATTTCTATCTTTTTGTCCATGGTGACCGCCCGCGGCGGCTGATGGTGGTTGTAGGTGGTTGCTGTTGGTGGTTGCGGGTGGCTGCTGCTGGGTTGAGACGGTGGAAAGAACCGCTGATGGTGGTTGCAGGTGGCTGCTGTTGGTGGTTGCAGGTGGCTGCTGCTGGGTTGAAACGGTGGAAAGAAAGAGGAGAAAGATTACAAAGGGGTATTTTGGTCTGCTTCATTTTCTTATTTTCCAACTTACCCAGCTATCCCCAAAAAACCACCCCCAACTTCAGATTCTAAACAGTGCCAATGCATGGCTTTCTACAACCAAATAGGAAATGCTATGCAAATAGCATAGATGGGAAACTTCAATAAACCTCTCAACCAAACAACAACTTTCTGGAATGCCAAGTTCATTTGGATGGGAAAATTTTCAGATTTCTTCAACCAAACACCACCTAAATAGTTGGTAGTGAAATGCAATAAATCGAATATAAGCCTTTGAATTAAAATACATGGATTCCAAAGCGCAAGACTAAACCCATTCACACCTCTCCTTCATTTTATCTAGAGTTGTTTAAGGTTTCTCTGTTTCAGTTAACTTCGAGTTAATTCAAATAGCATTTAAACAAAACAGATCACTGAAACTAAGTTAAGTAAAATTTTAAATTAATATTAAACAACATATTGTAGGTCTTGTAAGATATAAATTTAACAATAAAAAGTTAAATTATATATATATGGGTCTTTATTTGTTTTAAGAAACATTTTTGGTTAATTAAAAAATAACAAAATTATGTTCAAAATGATTTTAACCACTGATTTTTGGCTGGTTCTATATAGTGACAGACCCAGGATTTTTTATGATGAGAGACGAAAATAATATACCAAAATAGTAAGTGTTATTAAAAATAATAAGATATGTTGACGACTATTATAAGTATTTTTTGGAAGGGTTAACTATTAACACTAATAGTCTATTATTATTAAATAAATATTATTTTATACGTATAATAAAAGAAAACCTAAGTTCAGGGAGAGATGACTGTTGATGCTCGCCCTTCCCTTGATTCTGCCCCTAGTTCTCTAATCGTCCTGTTATCTAAATTTGTCCAAATCGATAAACTGACCATTTCAGCCATATTTAGGTTTGGTCTGATTTTTAAAGCAATACACTTGCATTGTTTTTGAATATCGAAGCAACACAACGTCTTGCCTGTTGTAGCAAATATCCTTACATTACCGGAAGCCAACAACTGATGATGAGTTAATGTCATCTGTTAAAGATAATTATATATTAAGATTCATCTCAATCTCATGTAAATTAATTATAAGATATCCAAGACTCTGCAATTTGAATAACCTCGCTTTCCCAGTAACTAATTGAGACATATTTGGGTTTTACAAATTAGACTAATATTACTTCGGATCAAATTCAGTTTACACATATTGGGTTGTTCCAATTTAGCCCAATATTACACGTACGGATATTTATTGATGCATGGTGGAATATTTGGTTGAACATTTATGCTGAGCGTTTTGGAAATAGCTAATTATGGGAGATTGTCCCACTCTGATAATCAGATAAACTCATCCGTCTCACGTTGCCACTGTTGACAAATAATATTTAAAATATGAATGCACTTGAGAATCATGAAAGTTAATATATACATTTTCAACAAATAGGGCACGTCTACTTTTTAGTTATAATATTTATATTATTAAACATATTACATTATAATGATTAAATACATATATTTTGTTTAAAATACAATTCATTATAATTAAATCTTTAAATCATGCATAAATATTTTATTTTATTTTTGCTAATTTAATGTTTGGTCTAATTTCTAAATAATTGGATAGAAGCATCTGCCAAATACGTGAGGGTCAGAACGCACTAAATTGAGACTCAGTAATGTGGGGTCACTCGCATTGGCGACATCGATGTCATATGTGGGGCAAACTAACTTTGAATACGCGGTTCATATTGAGCTCATGAGCTGGCAGTAGCGAGTAGCGAGTCGCGACATCGATGTAATATGTGGGGAAACTCACTAAAATTCGGGTTCATGTCGAGTTTCTGTGTGAGTCTAGCGTTAGATATTGATAATGTAAATTCCTAAAATAAATTGTAATAATAAAAATAATCATTTAAGTTAAAAAATATATATATGATATAATAATTTATATGTAAAGTTTATTATTTTATGTTTGTTTTAATTGTTTTTTGATGATCATATTTAGGGTTCTCTTGGAACATATAATGCATAAATCATATAAAGTTTTTAGAATTTATAAACAAAATTTTAATAAATCCACATGAAAATTGTTAATAATTGCAAAGAATCTTGAGATACACCACCCAAAAAGCTAGCTCAAAGGGTGAGAGTGTTCAAGACCTTGTAAACTCCACATTAGTTGCTCATACAATCAATGTGAGACTATATATCTCAACACGCTCTCT